CTATAATTTTATAGTATAATTTAGGGTTACTTTTAATTTCTTAATTGATTTTTTTAAGAGAAATCACACAAATAATCCAAACCTATTTTTTTACGTAGAAATTTCATGTACAAAAACTTTTAAAAAAAGTTTTTATACAGAAAAAATAAGATTTTTATGTGAAAATATGTTTTTTTTTGTATAAATATGAGTTTATAAAGAAAAAACATATTAGAAACAATTTTTTGAGAAAAAAAGTTGTAACAAAACAAAACTTAGGATGAATTCATAATAAAATTTTAAAATTTTGGCAAAAAGGGTAAATTTAGGAGAAATTTGTAAAAAAAATTATAATCTAGGCCAAAAGTGTAAATTTTGGACCAAATTTGTAATAAATTTTGAAATCTGGGTCAAAAATGTAATTTTTGAAAGTTGGATGACCTGTTGACCGGGTGAAAGGGTTAAATTGAATACGATTACCGGTATTTGAGACTTAATTGAATAAAATAATATATAAGGACTAAATCGATTATAAGGCCAATATGTAGAGCTTTTATTGCAGTTTCCCAATATATATATATATATATATATATATATATATATATATATATATAAAATTCGGTTTTTGGAATCTAATTCCAAGCACCAAAACCGATTTCCCTAAAGGATTAAAGGCATGACCGGATTCCCTCTTCCGTTGACCAAGAAACTGAATACACCTCCATTTGGAAAAGCTTCAACCAAATTCTCTTTTCCATTTGACTAGAAACCGAACACAGATCATCCTGTTGATTTTAAGACCAAATTTAAGATTGAATTCGGCCTTATATGATCGAAAACACCTCATTTGAGGTCCATTAAGGCCGAACACACTCCCATATATATATATATATATATATATATATATATATATATATATATATATATATATATATATATATATATATATATATATATATATATATATATAAAAGAGAACACTCAATTTATTTTTCTTGTTTTAATAATATGTGGTTTTTTTTCTACCCGACCTAAAAAGAGTATATTTTCACTTTTCTATTTCTTTTTTATTTTCGAATATTTAAATAATTATGAATATTATTTTAAAAACCAAAATTGTTCCACAACCACAACCTTCCACTTAATTTGTATCCTTATCATACCCACCAGACTTGTGAGACATCTTCCCCTACCACTGTCCACCATTTCTTCACACTTGCAAATGAAATGAGTCACTTAGTGTTTAAATCTAGAAAAACGCAAAGAAATCGATTTAAATCCAAAAAATGTGTTCTCCTAAGTGACTGGTTCAGATAAACAAACATGATATAATAAAAAAAATGAGACTAATTGATTAGGGTTCACAATTACAAACAAAACCGTCGTCTCTCAAATCCAACGAACACCACATACCACCAGAAGAGGGTTATTAGAAGAACGCTGATCTGTAACCTAATTGTAACAACCCGTTGTTTCGAGTCAATAAAACTCAATGAAATTCACACTAGTTCATTCAAAGTTTACACTAGTATAAATAATGATTTAAAATCCTTTGCTCTAGAACCTAATACTTAGTGTAAGTCATGAAATACCATGTCTTTGGAAACATATATAAGCTTAACACTTAAATGAAATCATAATATATATATATATATATATATATATATATATATATATATATATATATATATATATATATATATATAAAATTCGGAAAACCGATTTCCCTAAAGGATAAAAGGCATGACCGAATTCCCTCTTCCTTTGACCAAGAAACTGAATACACCTCAATTTGGAAAAGCTTGGACCAAATTCTCTTTGCCATTTGACTAGAAACCGAAAACACATCATCCTCTTGACTTTAAGATCGAATATAAGATTGAATTCGGCCTTATAGGACCGAAAACACCTCATTTGAGGTCCAATATTCAAATCTTCATACTTTTCCCGAGAACATTCATAATTCCCTTCATATTTTCATGTGATCCACCAAGAACACACACCACCAACATCATCACACCGAAAACACCCCCAACCCCACCGAAAACTCTATTTTTCCCACCGAAAACATCCTTCAACATTTCCAATTATTTAAAATTAAGTTTTTTAAGTGCTCCTTACATAATTAATTATTTAACTCATTATTTAAATTGATATTTTATTAATTTAGATACAATGTCGAATATAATTATTTTTAGGCTAAAGTTATTGGCGCATATGCTTACCCAATGATTATTTCTACAAGCTCGCTAATTCAAACACAAACACATATTCGAGGTGAGTTCATACCCCTACATTTACAACATTTTTAGTATTTTTTAGGGGGGGGGGGGGTAGAGGGGGAATACAAGTAAAACTTTACAAGGACTTTTGTGTATATTCAAACATTTTTAAATAGTTTTAAAACCTTTGCAGGTTTTTCCAACCGAGCATTCGTTACACTTCCTAAAAATATTTTATATAGTTTAACCCTTTTGTAATACGTCGAGCATAAGAGTATTTATTTTCATACAATTAAATTACAAATGTTTTCATTTCACTACGGAACATTTCAGTTAAACTATAAACGATATAGTTTGAGATTCTCTACACTATTTACTAACTACAATACACGAAACAAGAACATATAAAAAAACTATAATAGGTATAGTTTGAGAAACACTACTCTAATACATTGATACAAGTATATACTACTAAAATAATTATTTAAGTATAATTATTTTACACTACAAGGTACATTAATACAAAGCAATACATACAGTTTCTAATACAAGAGAACACTACAACACTACAACACTACACGTTAATTAGTTAATACAGGGTTGTGAGGCACTACTTCACTAGTATCCACCATGGTACATAACTAAATCCTATATAGTATAACCAAAGTCTCTTGGAGGGAGAGCGCGAGATTTGTGTATAGATCTATACGGGACTGACAATGTCACATCTGAACAGTTAGGCCGGCATGTCTAGGGTGAAAAATGTCATAACTTTTAGATGCCTAAAGAACGTCTTATAGGTCACTAGGTCATATCAAGGTATATGAAACTGGCAACAATATAACTAAAACATTTGATTACAAGATTAACAATACTTCAATGGTTTTATTTTAATTAATAAAACTCCAGTACAATACTTTACACTACAGTTGGTAGTAACCAGGCATTCATACAAGGTTTTCATGCAAAGACTACTATGGTACACTACTTTACACTGTAACTGGTGAATACCAGGCGTTCATACTAAGGTTTTTATACAAATACTATTACAGTACACTACTTTCATTACAACTGGTGGTATCTAGGTATACATATAAAGGTTTTGATACAAATATAGATGTGATACACTGTTTTCTAATACAGAATAAACTAATACGGTACACATTTACAAGGAACATACATGACTACATTACACTCACTAAAGAAAATATTGGATTTTCTGGAGAAACAATACTAGTATTTTCAAAGTACAAAGACAAGATTTCCTTCACTAAAATATTCTTATGAACTCACCAACTTAAATGTTGATACACTATCAAAATCACTTGTATTTCTTAGGGAACCGATAAGACAGATACACCCGCAGATTTTAAGAAGACGGAACTTTCAGAGTCGCGTCTTTTATACTTTTGCTATACATTTTGATGTCATACAAACTATGTATTGAACAGATGTAAATACTTTACATTATCAATATAATGGTTGTGTTTGCTTTGATTCCTATTATACAATTGTTGTGATACTGTACAAGGTGTCCTCTGCTCCCGAACGTTTCCGCCATTCTAGTTTGGAGGTGTGACACTAATGTCCTGACTAATTGAATGTTTGGAGATGAGAGGAGGGCTGAGGACTCAAACTCTCCAACAACATTGAGAAAAATCAATTGATGGATAAATGGGGTGTGAACTAAACATTGATATATATATATATATATATATATATATATATATATATATATATATATATATATATATTAGGTCTCGCATTTTGTTATTGTTGTATTGATATACGAAAGGTTTCCCAGTGTTTCGTGTTAATTCTTCAACTTGTAAATACGAGACGAATGTTTCGTTTCTGGTGAGCCCTCAGGTTCGCCTTCCATCTTTCACTTAAGGATCCGATCTCCTCCGGGAATAAGATTTACTTGAAGACTACAAACAAACCGTAAGAAACCAACCAAGATAGGATCCCGTACGATTCTCTGATGGTTAAATTAGCAAAAGGCTATGTATTCAGTTAAGTATACATGAGAATTAGAAGTAGATTCTGTGTACTTACCTTCTTGGCGTGTCGAGAGGTCTATTTATAGTGGTGTAGGAGGTGGCAAGCTCTTCCTACATCAAACCTGTCATGCCTAATTATCATATTTATGGTATAACGCCCAAAGGTATGACCATTGGTACTATGCATTCCATTATACAACTGTCGCGTGGATATATAAGGATCTTTTGACCACGTATCCTCGTATAGGCTGTATCTTCATAATTTCGAGACATTGTCATTACTGTTCTTGATGTCACTTTGTACCTTTCTATGTTCCTTCTTTTTCTCAAAATTCATTACGCTTATTAGGTGTTTTATGGTTCGGGTAGCTTTGAACACGTTGGTTCGGCATGTTTAGGAAAGGATAAGAGTATTCCCGGATTATACCCCATTAAGTCCCCCAGTTTGTATCTCCATGTATTTGATGGAGTAGGGATGCAAACTTTGGTAAGAGTGATGTTATAACCGCTGTGGTCGTTTAGAGGCGCTAAACTCCTGAATTAATTTTGTTGTGACGTGTTGACGGTTATGCTAGTCGTAATGATGATCCATATAACCGTCTTTTTCATCTGCCGAAACTTGAATATGGGTACAATATCTGCCAACCAGTTTATATGCCTGTTAATCCCCGTATGTTATAGACTTGTTATAAATATTTGGTTTAAACCTATCCACTTCACCATTCGCTTTCTTGGTTGTAGTCAGTTTCGTTCTCTTGTTAACCTTTCTTCTTGTTTTCTTCCTCTCTTGGTAAACATGGCCAGTACTGGTATCTCTCACATAGGAACGGTGAAATCCAAACTAACCATTCAAATCATAGCTATGCTTGTTCGGATGTACCACATTGATACCAAATTCCACCCTTGGTTGTCGGAGGCCCACGATGCTATTATTGACGCTTCCGAAGGCTTCGTGGGGGTTTACTGTGTATTCTTCAAGTCTGGGTTGTGTCTCCCTACTTTTGATTTCCTCAAAACCGTTTAGGATTACTATGGTCTGCAGATCACCAAAATAACCCCCAATGGTTTTTGAAAATTTCTTTGCTTTACTCTGTTGTGCGTTGCCCCTAGATGTGTCGTCGTCTATTACCCTGTTTCGCTACTTCTACCTTCATATGTCTAGTGGAGATTAGGTCTCCTTCTCCCTTCGTCATGGCTTGGTGGAGCTATGCGATGGCCTTCCCACTTCTATCAAATACTGGAAAGAAGAGTTCTTTTTCGTTCACTCCTTTTCCTTTTCAGGACCTATGGAGTATGGTGCAGCTGTTGACAGGGTTGTCGACCCCACCCTTGAACTCTCGCCTGATGAACTGTTGATAACGAATAGGTTGGAGAGCAACTTTGTTCGGTGGGCAGTTCCTGATGAAGTGGTGTTGGGTATGGCGGGCATGAGTCCTCATTGGAGTCGTTTAGGTAAGAAGCCTGTGGAAATGTTTGAGGGGGAAAAACATAACCCTTATCGATTGTATTCATCGAAAGCACAACGTGAACCCTGACCTAGTTTTAGAGGAGGTGGTGATCCTGGATTCTCCGATGTGATCAGAATCCATCATGGATTCTGCTTTAGAGGCCTCTCAATCAAAGAGTTCTAAGTCTATTCCCCGAACCTTCGACCTAAAGGTGTGAAACTGGATTCTAATTATGGAAAGCCTTGCACAATGTCTATGAGAGCTTCCTCGAAAGGGTTCGTCTTAAAGAGGCACCCTGAAAGTACTCAAGATGACCAGTTCATTTAGATGTCTCCTCCCAAGCGGAAATGCTCTTGTCGTGAAATAGAATTCAGAGCTTGAATGATCTTACTGATCCCCTATTCTCGATGCCACAAGCTCTGAGCGTATTTTGGGAGGTCCTAATCCAATTATCTTCCATGTCTATCCAATCGATCTGGACAACAAAATGAAACACGTGGAAAGTGAGGCAGAGGCGTCCCATTTGGCCAAATCAGAATTGGAGGTTTCTGCTAAGGATCCCCCTGAAAGTTTCCCTAAAAACTCTCTTTTGGAGAAGGAAAATCCCAAGAGTTTGTCTGCTAGCGCAGTATTTCAGAAGAAACTCTTTGGGTATGGATTTGGCTGCTTTGTGGCATCAACCATTGATTCTTAGGTTGTTACACCTATCCATGTTCTTTTCGATACCATGGCTGAGAATGAAGAACCAGTGGGAACTGAACCTATTGACACATAAGCATTTATCCCTAATTCTCCCTCCTCATCAAGCCGCATAATCTTGTTCTCTCCTTATCGATGTTAACTTTTCTTTTTTCCTTTTCTTCTCCTCTTTACATTTCATTTTATCCCGGTTCCAATATGTTTGTTCTGTTGTTTGTGCAGCTATTGTCATAACATGAAAGGAAGCCACGATGCCAACACTAATTACCCTCACTGCTTCACTTCCCTAGTTTCAATGCCCATTTGCTGCGACCAGTGTTATTCTGAACCCTTTTCAAACCATGGTTTCCTCTGATGAGAAAGCTCTGGATAAGGCCCGGTCATGCTTGATGGAAGGAATGTATTTATTGAATGAAGTGGCCCTCCATACGAAAGCACGTTTAGAGGAGCTCTCCAAGCGCCAGGTTGTTTTTGATGAAGCTTTGGAAGGGTTGAAACAGCTCTGTGTTCTTCATGAACAGACGAAGAAAGAAGCCAATGAGTTCAAAAAAAGAGGTTGTTGGTTTATCGGAGAGGAATCGAAATCTGGTAGCAGATTTGAGGCAATCCATTGGTTAGCAAGAGGAGTTGAAAAAGTTAAACCAGGTTTTGCAGATGAAAATAGATGATGCTCTGAGTCGTCGTGCTTCATCAGTTAAATAGCTTGAAGGTGTTTCTCAATAATATCACTCCTTAAAGTCACAATACACAGAGAGAGTTTCTCAATTAGATATTATCTGTTCGAGTAAAGATGTTAGCATTAAGTTGCTGGAGGAGGAATTGGTTGTGGTGAAACTCCTGATGTTAGAGAGGGATGCTCAAATTGCTACATTAAATGATGCATAACTCCTAACAGAATAGAAAGTGCCTTCCTACGAGGCAAGAGTAGACCAGGGGTTTGAGGAACTGCGGTGGGTTGTCAAGGAAGGTATTCCTCTCTATGTTTGTAATTTACTGAATTTGAGGAACTTTGGCGCCGTGAATACGACCTTACAAACGTCCTCCGTCCAACTTGGTCTTCATCAAGCTTGTGTTGACATGAAGGAAAAGTACTCTCGAGAATTGAAGGATAATGGCATCTTGTATTTGTACCCAAATGCACAACAACAAATTATTAATCATTTTTGCTGGGATGACAACCTACAAGTACTCCATTTTATCTGCTCTGGAAGAGGAAGGAATGGATGTGGTTCGTTTAAAGAAATTGATGAAAGTTGTGGGTTGATCCAAAGAAGATGAAGTTGGATTATGTTAGTCTTAGTGTTAGTTTGAAGATGTAATCATTTCCTTTTTTGTTTAAAATATCGGCCCTATCGCTAGGCTTGATCCTAAGGTTTGAAGAAGAATTACATCAAACCATTAGGCTTGATCCTAAGGTTCAAGTAAAAGTAACATCAAGCTGTAGTGCGGATGATTATGGCTATGGTTTCAAATTGCTCAAACCATTAGGCATGACCCTACGGTTTGAACAACACTGACATCGAACCATATTGTGGAAGATTATGGCGATGATTCTAAGTTGCTCGAACCATTAGGCATGGCCCTAAGGTTCAAATAAGACTGACATCGAGACATAATGTGGAAGATTGTGGCGATGATTCTAAGTTGCTTGAACCATCAGGCGAGACCCTAAGGTTCAAGTAAAACTAACATCGACCCATAATGTGGAAGATTATGGTGATCATTTTAGGTTGCTCGAACCATTAGGCATGACCCTAAGGTTTGAGTAAAACTAATATCGATCCATAATGTGAGAGATTATGACGATGGTTTTAAGTTACTCGAACCATTAGGCATGACCATAAGGTTCGAGTAAAACTAACATCGAGCCAAAATGTGGAAGATTACAACGATGATTTTAAGTTGCTCGAACCATTAGTAATGAATCTAAAGTTTGAGTAAAACGAACATGGAGCCATAATGTGGAAGATTATGGCAATGATTTTAGGTTGCTCGAACCATTAGGCATGACCCTACGGTTCGAGTAAAACTAACATCGAGCCAAAATGTGGAAGATTACGGCGATGATTTTAAGTTGCTCGAACCATTAGTAATGAATCTACAGTTTGAGTAAAACGAACATGGAGCCATAATTTGGAAGATTATGGCGATGATTTTAGGTTGCTCGAACCATTAGGCATGACCCTACGATTCGAGTAAAACTAACATTGAGCCAGAATGTGGAAGATTATGGCGATGATTTTAGGTTGCTCGAACCATTAGGCATGACCCTAAGGTTCGAGTAGAAATAATATCGATCCATAATGTGGAAGATTATGGAGATGATTTTAAGTTGCTCGAAACATTATGCATGACCCTAAGGTTCGAGTAAAACTAACATCGAGTCATAATATGGGAGATTATGGCGATGATTTTAAGTTGCTCGAACCCTTAGGCATGACCTTAAGGTTTGAGTAAAACTAACATCGAGCCATAATGTGGAAGATTGTGGCGATGATTTTAGGTTGCTCGAACCATTAGGCATGACCCTGAGGTTCGAGTAATACCAACATCCAACCATAATGTGGAACATTATGGCGATGATTTTAGGTTGCTCGAACCATTAGGCATGACCCTAAGGTTCGAGTAGAACGAACATCGAGCCATAATGTGGAAGATTATGGCGATGATTTTAAGTTGCTCGAACCATTAGGCATTACCCAAAGGTTCAAGTAGAACTAACATCGAGCCAGAATATGGAAGATTATAGCAATGTTTTTAAGCTGCTCGAACCATTAGGCATGACCTTAAGGTTTGAGTAAAACTAACATCAATCCATAATGTGGAAGATTATGGCGATGATATTAGGTTGCTCGAACCATTAGGCATGACCCTAAGATTCGAGTAAAACCAATGTCGAGCCATAATGTGGATGATTATGGCGATGATTTTAGGTTGCACGAACCATTAGGCATGAACCTAAGGTTCGAGTAGAACCAACATCGAGCCATAATGTGTAAGATTATTGCAATGATTTTAGGTTACTCAAACCATTAGGCATGACCCTAAGGTTCGATTAGAACTAACATCGAGCCATAATATGGAAGATTATGACAATGATTTTAAGTTTATTGAGCCATTAGGCATGACCCTATGGCTCACGTAAAACCAACATCGAGCCATAATGTGGAAGATTATGGCAATGATTTTAGGTTGCTCGAACCATTAGGCATGACCGTAAGGTTCGAGTAAAACCAAAATCGAGCCATAATGTGGAAGATTATGGAGATGGTTTTAAGTTGCTCAAATCATTAGGCATGAACCTAAGGTTCGAGTAAAACTAACATCGAGCCAAAATGTGGAAGATTATGTCGATGATTTTAGGTTGCTCGAACTATTAGGCATGACCCAAAGGTTTGAGTAAAACCAACATCGAGCCATATGTTGAAGAGTATGGAGATGATTTTAGGTTTCTTGAACCATTAGGCATGAACCTAAGGTTCGGGTAGAAATTACATCGAGCCATAATGTGGAAGATTATGACAATAATTTTAAGTTGTAAGCTTTGCCTATTTGTAGATGATTGCTTTGAAAGGAATGGGATATATCATTTTAAAATAAGTTATCAAATTACATCAAAAAAGAACAACAAAATTTATGAATTCTAAAATGTCGTCATGGCTCGATTCCTTTCTTCTTGACTACTCCATGCTGCCATTTTCAAAAGTGGAATTTTTGAAGGTTACACATGTTCCATGTTCTTGGCAGTCGGGTCCCATAATGTCTCTAGAACCTATGCTCCACTTTGTCGTACTTTGATCACTCGGTATGGTGCTTCCCAGTTTAGACCGAGTTTTCCCATGGCTCCGCCTGCTAGCTTCGTTCTTGCGAAAAACCAAGTTACCCACTACACACGATGACTTTTTTTTACACAGGCTTTGTAATATTGATCTATTCATGCTTTGTAATTGGCTTGCTGTATCACAACTTCTTTTCGTCTTTCCTCTAGCAGGTCTAAATTTTTTCGGAGATTTGGTGTGCTCGACCACATTTCTGGGCTATTGGTTCGGGTAGTTCCAATCATTACTTTTATAAGAATGACTGCTTCTGTTCCAAATACCAAGCGAAAAGGAGTTTCTTTGGTCGGGGTTTGCAGTGTGGTTCAATATGAACATAACACATGTTATAGTTCATTGGACCAATTTCCTTTGGCTTTTCCCAACCTTTTCTTAATTCCCTTCACCAGAGTTCGATTCGTCACTTCTACTTGACCGTTAGCCTGAGGATGAGCCACCGAGGGGAAGTTCTGCTGGATTCCTTTTTCCTGGCACCACTTCTTGAAGGGCTTTTCAGCAAACTCTTTTCTGTTTTCACTTATGATAGTATGGGGTAGGCCAAAGCGACAAACAATTTGTCTCCACATAAATTTGACAATTCTTTCCCCGGTTATGGTTGCGACTACTTCAGCTTCGACCCATTTAGTGAAATAGTTAATTGCTACAATAAGGAATTTGAGCTTTCCTGGTACCTCATGGAAAGGGCCCAAAATATCAATTCCCCACTGAAGGAATGACCATGGGTTTGTGATGCTAACCATATCCCGTGGTGGTAGTGCAGGTACGTTCGCGTGTATTTGGCAGTCATGGCATTTCTTGATGAATTTTTCTTTATCACGGGTCATGGAAGGACAAAAGTATCCTGCCTGAAGGATCCTCTGGGTGGTTGCTCGTGATCCTTAGTGTTCTCCAAAAACCCAATAATGCATTTCTCTTATTACTGCCTCTACTTCTTTCTTCGTTACACATTTCAGCCATGGAGTGGAATGACCCCTCCTGTACAGTCGACCTCTATACATAGTGTAGTTCGGTGCATTAATTCACATCTTTCTTCCTTCCTTTGAGTCCTCCAACAATATTCATTTTCTAAGAAAAAGGACATAAGGTGTCATCCTTGAAACTTCTTCCTCGAACTCCATGGTTTCATTCTGCAGCTTATCAATGCTTTTTCTTGGCAACACCTCTACTAGGACCATTTTTGATATGTGGCTGAAACCTACTAATGCGAGTTTGCTTAAAGCATCCACTTCTTTGTTCTTTGATTGTGGAACTTATGTGATTTTGAATGTTTCAAACTTAGCAATCTACATTTTTTTAAGAGTTAGGTACCTTTGAATGTGTGTTTCTTTAGCTTCGTATATTCCTTTAATTTGGTTGACCACCAACATCGAGTCACTAAATACTTCATGATGTGTGACGTTCATGCTCATTACCAACCATATCCCTGCTATCATGGCTTCATATTTTGCCTCATTGTTTGAACATTTGAACTTGAGTCCTAAGGTATAGGTCGATTTGTCTCCGTATGGGCTAGTAAGGACGATGCTTGCTCCTGACCCGTCTTTGCTTGATGCCCCATCAACGTGTAATGCCCACGCTTCCTTGGCTATGTTGGTTGATGCTTCCGGATGTTCACCAGTGCCCGTGGGAGTCATCATCATTGATGACTGTGAGTCATCTGATATCTCCGTCAAAAAATTGGCTAGAGCTTGCCCCTTTATGCTGATTCTGGGTTTATACGTGATGTCATACTCCCATAGCTCTATCACATATTTCCTCATTCTCCATGAACATTCACGCTGTAATAGGATCTATTCATTGGCTGGTCGGTTAAGATTTCTATGGAATGTGCC